TGACCATCGTAATCATTCATCAATTTGTAAAACTGTTGGATCCTTAAGCAGGCTGGTCGAGGTTTTGCAGCCCTGGTAACCAACCGCTATTTTGACGGTCATGTAAAGCGCGAGTCACAACTCCCCTTTATCAGGTATATCGAAGTTTGTTCTGCTTAGGGCAGGTTCTGTTTGGAGTTCTGCCTACCGTTAAAACCAATACATTAGCCATCTAGCTTCGGTTCGCGTGAATCAGACTATACTGTTTAAGAGAACCCACACTAACTGATGATTGACGGCCACCTGATGCGAGAGTTGTCGTATTTACTCGTGTGAATGCCCCAAAAAGTTATACTCCAGTTAGGAAGCTCCAAATTTCCACGATCTTCCGATACCGCCTGTTTCTTTTGGGTGATATTAGTGCTTGAAATGGTAATCACTGGAAAATGATAGGAAATACCGGCTGTTCTGGAATCGGTTCACCAGACGACAACGCTAGATTGCCACAAACAATGTGCATTCGAACGTTTGATAAGAAACAGTCTATTATAGGGCAAACATCGCTTGCCACATTGGCCCACACAATAAATGGATGACAACGCCACTATGCCGCAGAGAGGTTTGCATAATCTACCGATGAGGAATATGATACGCAAAACTTTATGCAGTACGGGACAGCACTTCGCGCTTGCCGAAGTGCGCGTCACACGTGAAAAACCTCCATTTCATGGTCGAGTATAAGGTATGAGGAAACAATAGCCACGTTCTTCCAAACCCTAGCGCAGGGGCTGCAGGATATACTAAACACATCTGAAAGCTAGTGGGCCCGAAAGGCAACACATATTTGAACAGCTGCTGTGGATACAATTGAACTGAGNTGCAGTACGGGACAGCACTTCGCGCTTGCCGATTCACTCTGGGTTAAGAGGTGAATCTGGCACTTCATGAGATGCCCCTTGCTGATGATTCCCGGAGAGGATGAAACAACTTTACGGTGCTTCTCAGTTTTTCCGCATAGATCAGTATCACACAGGATTGAATCTCAATTCATAATTTCAAAATATTTTCACATTACTAATGACATACGAGTAGCTAAGAAGTAAAACAGTATTTAGTTAGCGGCTTTAACTTCTCCCTGAGAAATCCTCCCTGGACCAATCAGTCAATGCCTGGGCATTCAGTGTGGTCTCCGTGTATAACTGCTTGCAGACTGAGTGGCGCTAAACCCACTCCTAATCATTCATTTGTGTTCGAATGGTTAAGTGTCAAAACTAATAACCGACGCTTCGTAAGTTGCCAACTGCTAAGGACTCCCAATATGGATGAAGCAGTAGTACAGCTCTTCTCAGTTTTTTCAGCTCCATTTGTAGAGAAACATCTCGGCCAAAGACTAGGTGTTCGTCAATAAACTCCAAGATCCAACAAACAGAGAACCTAAAAAACACTTCGGAACCTCCAGCACCAATCCTCTGAAACATGTGGAGAACTAGCGAAGCATGGAGCTTCAGAAGTACGCGGATAATTGTTAACATAAAGCTTCTTTACCTTAGTGGAAGAGGTCTACATGCCGAAACCCTAACGTCTCCGTCTAGTAAACAACAAACATACTGTTGAAAGACCGAGGAAATTCTGGCAACTTAAAAACGTTACTTCTCAAAACTGCCCACTCAACTTTGAGCCATACGGCCAAAATAGAATACAAAATAGAATGACGTCCAGCCAGGCCTTGTGAATTCTTGAGATTCATAAACAAACTGCTGTACCATATAAATATGTCTACGTAATTATATGAAAGGAATTAAAACCTCAATTTATGGGTCTCACGTCTGATTTTTCGCACGGACTGGGGAAATTCTAGAAGAAAAAGTAAAAATCGCAGAATGATGCAGAAACAGCACATTTAAAAAAACCGATAAATCGATTTGATTAGTGACACTTATGTGAGAACCTGTTATACAACGGAAATAGTTGAAGTACGCACTTAAAGTTCAGAAAACTTGGTTTGATAGATCACGTGTCAGAAGAGCACTGAGGATTCAGGGTACTTATCGGATTTTTCAAGCGGAGTAAAAAAAATCGTTTTATGGTAAGGAGAAGTTCCGAGTGGCAAAATAAAGCAGTAGCACGCCTAACAAGGTTGTTAAAAATTCTTCGGCGACCCACAAACAGTTTTGCCCTTCTTGGGGCTCATCAGGTAGCCTCGGTTTTTAAATTTTTGTCAGACTTATGTTTTAATGAGCCTAAACTGAACAGATGTCGACAAATACACACAAATGCATTTCAAACGGGTGGTCATAGAAGACTCAGCTCAATCTCTCATTTATGGTATTGTTCAACTGAATGTGTTTCACCAAGGTGTACACATTTTTCAGTCGGTACGACATTTCAGATATCGCAAAACATTTTCATAGTAGAAATTCGGGAAGTGCACCCACCTGATGAGCCTCAAGAATAGCAAACCAGTCACGGGCTGTTAACAAGTTTTCGGTAATTTTGTGAGTGGTCATCACCGCAGAATAAGATATAAAAAAATTTTAAAGAGCATCAGTTTCTCAACATTATGTTCTTTGGCTCCTCGACAAAAGTGATATCCTTTTGGAAAAATTTCAACCTTCACGCATGGATTTCGTCAAGTCAAGTAAGCGGTCCGTCACTTTTGATTCCGTTAAATGTTCCACATAACATAATTTTCTTAGCGTGGGTGACTAAGCTTCATGGCGCTATGGAATGAAAAGTTGCCATTGTTTCAGGCAACAGTCAAGGAACTCCCACTCATGAAGTTTCATTTGATGTTTTCTCCTGGCTTAGCGCAAATAGTTTACTAATAGTATTCTACTCGATTGTACGGAGAGAGAAAATGGAGTCCGGTTGGTCGTAACCCTGTGCATCAGACCAAACACAGTGTTAAAAAATCCCAATCAGTACGCTCCCACTTGTGACGACAGTAATATCCTAAGCACTGCCCACAGGTTTTCTTGTATTTCCTGGCGCTGCATGGTTGCTTGATGATCTTAAAGGTCATTTTGGTGTAAATTTCACCAGGCAAAACACATCTTTGTCAGGAATCTTCAGCAAAGAGCACCTCATGGAAATCCAGTACGAATTCTGGAACCAGTGACCTCCGAGCTAGTAGTCTGAACACTTAACCATTCGACTTGCAGTGCGATCAACCCCCATTAGACTGATGTAGCGGAATTGCAGAATCCGAATCACGCGGTTCGTGGTGTGCGACGATCTAGAATTTTCTGTTGATGTTCATCCTAGAGCAGTGGGTTTAATTCAGTAAACTTTTACCATGCGCAATGATCGTATCTCTGTCCAAGCGTCGATACAACAATAGAAATAGAGCATCCCTTAAGACTGTCCTTATTATAGTTGCGGTCACCCGAGAAAGCGTGGACGCCGTTTCTTCGTAGATGGCAGAAACTGGATCGATACACTCAAGAAAGTTGGCATCCACAACATCTCATTGTGCAGCTAAGAGGTGTTGTCATCTAAGCTGCCAAAATTAGTAGTTGGAGTTTCATGAATTAAGTCAGTGATAACACTTTAGAACTTTTGAGCATAGGATCTTCGTAATTGGTAGAGGCGAACAGACACGTCACAGTTTAATTTGGAAAAAATGGCGAGCTAGTTATCAGCTTGGATGTCTCAAGCATATTTTGCCAGTTGAAAAATGCACCATTCTTTTCTAGTGCTGTGCTCTGAAATATCCATCATCGGAGTTGGCCACACCAGTCATATTTTGCTGACCTTTGGGGGTAACGGTGATACTACGGATGGAGAGGCATACGAGTAGTATGGATTCTTTTTACAAATTCGCCCCGCGTTTGTTGAAAAGGGAGATCTATTGTGGAATTGGTGGAGTCACTTTGTAGCAGTTGAGTGACAGTCGATGAATATTCAGGAAAGTTCAGCAAGACGCGTTCAAGGAGAAGGTACATATTTAGTTCTTGTAAACAAGATCCATATGCGAGTTTTGCTTCCCTGTCCAATAGTTTGTAACTGGTCAGTTGACATTTTCTAATAAATAACTCCGCAGCGAAGGCTTGTTTCATTTCATGGGTAGAAAAGGAGTATGGCTGTCATTTCTAACCAACGGACAAACTTAACCTTACATGTGTACATGCCTTTTGTTGGAGTTTCAAATTCTCTACCTAGATGTAAGCTGTTGACAAAGAACCGCGAGTATAGATGGGGATTTCGGTAAGTCTCCTCCACAAAACGCATCGTCACATAAAGTGGAAAGTTGTGATAATCACTTGCTTAAAGCCACTAACAACAAGCACATCATATTTGGCCATCTGGTTCAAGTGAAATCGCACTGTGCTACAGTTTCGTCGGAACAATCGGAAGTGCAAAATCATAGATTTCGTAATTGTGTAGCTGTCCCACCCTGAGTAGACCATTCAAAACCACACAGTAAACACACGGATGAAAACGTAAAAACACGACTACTTAGCCATAGGATCATGTCAGGCATGATGCATACTCGTGAGCAGTTATTCACTCGAACACTTGCCAGTTGCCTTTTTGGGACAAACGGATAATTTCAACGAACAGAGCAACCACCAATAAAATTTGATGTATTGCCAACAAAAGTGTTCCATTCGATTGGCGTTTAAAAACGCATCAATCAGGATCTAAATTGTCTTGGTGTGAGTCATCTAAGCTTCGTGAACTGAGAGACAGCTTGTAGAATAAGCCAGTAAGGGAACACATGCAAAGCCCGCCAACATTAATCGTCCAGAAGAATGGATCGAGCAATTTTAATCGCTCTAAAGTTTGGAATTATATTTAGAATGGCGGAGTGCACGTAAGAGCTTTTCCAATCTACTAAGTCTACTCGTTAGGACGACACCAGTCACAACTACTTCGTACACCCTAGAAACAGCACCCCAATGTATTGTTTTGTGTCCTTTTGGAACGGTAAGTAACTCAATCTGATCGTGTGTTAACTTCGAACATAGGGAAGATACACGGTTACCTTCCGCATTGGGTCAGGAGAAAAGCTATTCCGAATGGTGCTTGACACTGGATCTGCGGTAGTTTGGGTGCCTTCGATAACAGCCAGTGCAATTTGGACTAAGCATAACCTTTATGATCCAAGCCAGTCTGAGACAGCGAGTCTCAAAGATTCTCCGTTTAGAAGGACCTACGGTACGAAGGTGATCAAAGGACGGATTTTCGAGGATCGGATAAAGGTGAGTCATTCGAATTCTCATTTCGGTTCTCTCAAAAATTTAGGTAGGCGAGTTAACCTTTGAAAGCTTTGCATTTGGTGCGGCCGATGAAGTCGTAGATTACCCCATTTACGAGCACTTTGACGGAGTTTTGGGAATGGCTATCAAAAGTGAGCATGAAGGAATGCGGCGCACATTTCTCGAGCGTTTGGCCAACCGGAAGTTCGGTCTATTCTTTCGAAGGTATGTTTGAGGTAACTTTATTTTTTGAGTGTTCTTTTGCCCAAGTTGTCCCCTTAAAAACGAGGCTGTCCGGCCGGCACGTCACGAACTTTTCGGATATGTTCATAAAGTTCAAAGTGACATCACAAAATTCGGAATTTATCTAACGTCAAACATCCGAGTGTTTCCATGTGTGCATTTTTAGGTGCAAGCAATCAAATCCAAAAAACATGCAACAACTGGTTAGCCTTATTTAGTTGAAAAATAAATGTGAGAAGGAATCAGCAGTTTAGGAACATTGTCATTTATTTATTCACACCTGTGTACAGTAGAAATGCATGGTTAACTAATTATACAAGCTTAATTAAGCAAACTTAACCACTTTACTCATCCATTATATCCGTCAACCATTGTTACTTTGGATCAATCCGCATCCGTCTAACAAGCATTTGTTTTGATCATCAAAAGTGTAAGCTGACAAGACGTTGTTGGACAGGCCGTCATTTGCCGCCACTTGTTTATACTACTTAGTTTCACTCAGTGACACTCTTGTTCAACAGAGCTTGTTGTCTAAACTATAACAGAGCAATGAGAAATGTGGGTCCCCCATTACTGAACTGCCGTCCAAACTACTGAGTAGTGTCCCCGTCCAGATAGGTGACCCTCAACTGATTGGATATTTCTCGAAAAGTGATCGAAAGCGGTCTAGGAATAGAGAATAGCACCTGTTATAATATCGATCGCAATAATACCTCACTTGTTTATAATCTACACCGTGAATAAAGTAGACCAGCCAACACCAAAATTAACAGCAAAATACTTCAGCTGAATTAACAGGCAAAGAATTGACAAGTCGAAAGGAAGGCGTTTTTCATGCGATACATACTCAGGGCTTTCCTGAAGTCAGATGTACGACCCAGTCTTATTTCTTGTTCAGCTTGCTCGGTGTTAAAAACTGGTCCTAGCGCAACAAATGACTAGAAGAGTATGTTTTTCCAAGGTGACATGTTACATGTGGGAATTTTCCGTTGCAATGTGTTTCATTAAACCGGTTGAGGGATATTTTATCTCACCAAGTTTCCCCTCCGAGGGATGAAGAATTTAGTGGGCAATCCAAATTACTTGTATCCACAACTTGCAATCAGTGATTACATTGGTTGAAACGCCTTTGTTCATTTTGCGAATCACCAATCAGGGCCTACATATTCATGTGCGCAGTACTTCAGCGCTACACACATGCAACGTTTTAGGTAATGATAAATGGAAGAGTCGACAAGTTTCACCAGTGAAAGTTTACGTTTTATCTGGCTTGGAGCTCTTGGGTCTAATTCAAACATGGATCACAAGTGAATCTAAAACAGCGGATAGCCATTCAACCTGAGTGTGTAGTCACTATGTAGTCTGCCGAGAGGGCCCCTTGGCCATCTCGTACTAAGTAGTAGCATTTGAATTTATCTGAGCAGTGCTCAACGAGGTCAAAGCAAAAATGAAAAAGTTCAACGAGGCAGGGCAAGTAGAGGCAGATTCCATAGTAGAAAAAATCCGTTTATAGTACCAAATCCACTGCCTGAAACATACTCAAAATTTCAAAATAAAAATGGAAACCGGAAACTGTATGACGCAACACAGTTTGCTCTGTTCGGTTAGTTCCAGTTGGTCCGCTCTCAGAGCGGATGGACACCAGTTAATCTCACGGCGTTCTCAATTCGAGGTGACCGACTCATTCGGAAGACCGTTTCAGAGCATGTTCGGGAGGTGAAACTCAGTTAATTGCATAACCTACACCAAGTGGCTCGCAGGCTGATAAATGAGGCTGGTGGTCTGGTCGTTTATTGTCATCACCATCAACACCGGCAATACACCGATAGAAAGAGCCGGCTTACAGCTATCATTCATCCTGGAGAGGAACTCTTGCCAAAAGACAAGCAACAGCAATGTTGCTGCAACTTTGAACAGCGGTCTGAGCGGTCCAAGACATAAGACTAACCAAGGAAGCACGTGGGGATTTCCCATGGCCATCATCATCATCATCATGGAAACAACATTGATAGAATCACAAGAGAAGAATATGGGTACTTTGTTGTTCAACGGAACGAAATACCAATGGAAATGGACAGAGTCTGCGTCTAGCATGCCACAAACATCAAAGTGCCTACAGCTCCAATACGCAATAAGACAATCTGGCTAGAAGTCGAGAGTATGAACGCCAAGGATATTTTGGTTAAATAACATAGATTTTACTTTCCCTAGCCGAACACAGCCAGTGAAATTAGGACCTTACCCTTGGGAATGAAAAGTGCGCAAACCCACTTACCAAGCCATACTTCGTTCACCGTTAGGTTTTGGCCACTCAGTGTTCTCAGCAAATAGCTATTCGGCATGCGTAGCACATAACACAGCCATATTAGATTGCACTGTTTGGTGCATACCCTGATTGAAGTTTCTTTTGCCCAACCAAACGCCCGTTTCCTGCGAATTGGTTGATTCCTCAACACAAAAAAATTGGTAATGACATCGATTCTTTACTGACTTACAATCACAAGACATAGATGACTATAAATGAGGCTTTAAAAACGAAAGAGTGCGTAAGGAAGAAACGTTTCGCCAGTCTACATTAAGCATTCTGAAGTGTCTATACAACCGAAAGCCAAATCAGACAATTTGAATCAAAATGACTGTCCATGTGACGCCCAGTTTGGGGTTGAACGGGGTATGTAGACTCAGTGGTTTTATTGCACATTTCAGCGGGGAAGAAGAAAGTATCATGGTCGTTGGTGACGAAGCCGAAAAATATATGCCAAGAGAGGCTTACCAAATTCCGTTGACAAGTGAAAGCTATTGGACCGTAAAATTCCACTGGTAATGTGTATTGCTACGTTTTTTCCCTTATTATTATTATCATTTGTGGCCAACCTTTTTGGCTGATATAGCAATAGTTTTGTCACATCAAGGTTTTAAGAGGCCCAATTCCAGTGAATTTTTAGGTTTTATCCAAACTAAGGTCACCCTGAAGCAACTGTAGATGAATAGATTACAGCCATCAGTTTGACCTAGCACGAAATAGGTGGGCAGTCTAGTTTGATCGTTGAGTCGAGTACAATAGGATCTTCTGGAGATTGACACAGGTCTTGTGCGCCGTAGTTTATTTTTTGACTCACAACCGCCTCACAGAGAATGAACAACAGGCTGTATGCGTGGCAAACGAATTAGTGGTTGTTTGTCTGTTCGCCGAGCCTGGCAGTTTGATTGCACACGTTTCATCATAAATCGAGGTGATATCGCCAGTGCATGATTGAGTGAGTGAATTCTTCCTCTTCTGTCTGTGCTTACATAGTTCGTAAACAGCATCTGGTAGCTCTAAGGAGCCTGTCAAGCTCGGCGAACAGACCAACAGCAAATCAGCGCGCACCCTAGCTACCTACATTTCACAACACTGCCAAAATTTTTGGCCGTTCTACGGATGGGAGACTGTCGAATGGCTTCCACCCGACAGCAACCTCGCTTCCTACAAGACTAACCGGGTTAGTTTTGGGTCACTAGTGACACAAGGTGTATGCATGAATAAACATACACAAGAAATATAAGCGATGTTTAATCCAATCCGAACTGGCCAGTGCCTTTTGGCATGTGCTGTTTGTTCATCACAAGCCAATTGATCTAGGTTGCCAGTTTTTTGCTGGGTTTCGTTCAAATTGTGGCTAACTTGAATTCACCGAAGAAGCCTGGGAGAGATGTTAAACACATAAGGCATAACTTGGATTCTCTAACGAACCAAACACCCTTCTGGCAACCGTCAACCACTACAGCACAACCAGCTAGCAGTTTCTCAGATAATGGATCAGCGGATAGCGGTGTCTGTAACGATGTACTGCCGATGGATTAGGGAAAACGTTACGAAAGTAGAATGATAATGAATAGTCTCACAACCGACGAATAATATTGTTTAGGTGATCTGGGTCTCTGGTCAAATGAGAACAGTTGCCGAATTCCGTTCAATTTGAGTTCAAGTAGAACTCTGAATTTACAGAAACAGGGACTGTGCGCCTACTTGTTGAGCTACAACCGGTTATGGGCTGTCAAGGAGTCTTCAGTAACATTAGAATTAGTGTCCCATCCAGAATGAAAAAATCCTCAACATTGTTCAAGTCCTCGTGAAGAAGCTAAGCTTAGAAACCATTCTAAATCTGCGATAGCCGATCGTACATTTATTGCTGTTAACGGTAGTTTGTTGTCGCTCATTAGTGATTCAAGGACATTTTGGACTAGCTGGGGGAGAGTGGTCAAATAGAGATTTCATGCATGCAGGAGCCCAGATCGGCGCATAATTTTAATTCAACTGCATGGCCTTCTTAGTGATTTCTCCTAGAATGTATTTACCTTGCGAATTGTACAGTTCCGACGGCGACGCACACTAGAAACGAAGTGGCCGAATGATGAGACCATCACATCCACGACATTTCAGGCCCAGCTTGGAGACATAGACTACACGTTTTACAGATGCCGTCCTACTCACAGTGTGACCAAGACCCTCAGTGGCTTAGAAGACACAGGAACACCTGGCATTAAATAATAAACCGGACTATGTAGGAAGCAGTTTGAAGCGGTCAACTAAAACTGAGCCAATTTTCCCAGTGGTTTCAGATAAACAATGTAACGCAACATGGGAAGAAAACGAAGAAAATAAGCTTTCTTTTGTTGTGGTGGTTGCGGGGCATACGTTGTTCACCACAAAAATCAAAAATAGTCTGGCGGGTTCCAGGTGTCTGTGGCTTTGCATACAGCTTGGATGAGTTATCCCTGTATTTACGCCCGCACTTGCAATAATATATATGGCTTTGATGCTCTTGCGCTTATTGCAAGGATATTTCGTTGAATTTCAAATTGGGAACGGCCGGAGTCCTGAGATACATTACACAAGTGCCCATCTCTGTGCTTAGCTTTTCCGGTGATCCTGAACCAAACAAATAGTTGAGAAGACCTTGTCCGGTCCCCAGAAGCTCAGTTACACCTGCACTTTTGTTTCGAATAACATTTACCAGCTAGGAGCAAGGAGATAGTCTTGGTAGCCTTTTTTAGCCATTTGGATTTGCTGTTTTGGACAAATGCCTGCCTAATAATAGGCCTGCATAACTGATGAAAGCTGAATTAACAAGCTATTGATCCATCCGGACAATGATCTGCCTACTGGTGGATGGTCATGGGTGGCATATGAATAGTAATCCATTATCGAGATATACACTCATTTGCAAATCAACTTGGTTTTCACGAGGGACTCAACTGAATGTCTCGTTTATGATATTCATTTAAATCTTTCGTGAAAACGAAATCGGTTTGCGAATGAGTGTAGTTCTAGAAAGTAGTCCAATTTGGGTTCAAGTAGAACATAAGGTTGACGGAACTCGGAGACTAATGAGCCCCAAGAAGGGCGAAACCAGTCATGGGCTGTCGAAGAGTTTTCAGCAACCTTGTGAGTAGTTTCCTT